ATTCATAAAGCGCGTCTGCAACGATTTTAGCAGTATTAATTGCATTAAATCCCTATACGTTGCATACGTAAGGAGTGTTCTCGAATACGCTAATACAATCTGGTCTCCAAAGTATGTGAAGCATAAGCATCGAATAGAATCAATTCAAAAACTATTCATTAAGTTTATCTCATCAAAAGATCATAATAGTTTTGCTTCATACGAAGATGCTTGCAAATTTTACCGCTTAGATACCTTGGAACTCAGAAGACTTCAACACGATATGTTTTTGCTACACGGTTTATGGTCTGGTAACATAGATTGTCCAGACCTGTTATCTAAAATATCTATACTAGTACCTAAATACCGAACTAGACATACGCCATTATTTCACGTACCACGAGCAAACACAAATTACGCAAAAAAATTCTACTTTATGTCGTATTGTTCAAAACTATAATAAGTTTTACGCTGACTTGGATATTTTCAACCTATCCAAGAGTCGCATCAAACGTGATGTTGTAAACAAAAATAGGGCATAATCATACACACACACACACACACACACACACACACACACACACACACACAGGCGCGCGCGCACACGCACGTGCACGCACGCACGCACGCTTAATTATTAGTTGATAAAACTGTGTAATCTCTATTGGCCTTACTATATGATAATATGTATTGTAAATACGATAAAAACGCTGTATGATTACCTAAATAAATAAATAAATAAATAAATATTTGTAACTTAATCCCCGTAGTTGATTTTATTTCTAAAGATTGTAAAAACAATGAACATGAAGAAACATGATTTTGTATAATAAATAACAATTTTTTTCTCTCTGATCAAGTTATTATTATGGTTTATTTGTCAACCGTGTTTCCCGTGGATTAGATCGATGTGCTTCCGACCGCCAAATGATATCCGGCACCCGGACTCTATATCCGGACTCTTGGATGGGCCACTAAATTTTCTATTGTCCTTATGTTGTTTGCAATATTAGAGCAAGCGTACTACTTTTAATTAAAATTTTATTTAGTATGTATCCCTTGTCATTTATTTAATACGAATAAAGAGTTTGCTTTGCATACGTTAACGATCTTATTTTTCTTCTACGATGCTACGTTTTAAGAGATTATCATTACTGAGAAACCTTTCGCATAATGTAGGAAGTTAAAAACTACATATGTACAATCAAGCGTATATATTATGCATAATCATTTATACACTTCATTATCGTGAGAGCCGACAGAGGAAAACAAATCAGGAGATGGCCAGCAGCGTCTTCTCAATAACGACTAACTGCGGTCGCCAATCTGTTGCCAAGCATGCCAACTGTGCTCCTTTTGAGACAATCTATCGCTTCGCTGAGTAATATTTAAACTTTTGAGAAAATATTTACAAAAAGTACCATATAACCTCCTCCACGATATATCCGACTTCTATGCTAATTCCATAACAAAATAAGGATCCGTTACAATTTTCACATTTGTTATATTAAGTAAGAAATCATTACTATAACCATAATGCCGTTGATAACGCTACAATTTAAAAATCTCTTTTTTCTATATTTAAATTTAAATTTCATTATATTTTTTTTTTCGAAAATTCGATCGTATTTACATATTCAACGTGTTTGTTAAATTACAAAAAAGAAAACAGAATTGCGTTATCACTTTTAAGATGCTTAAAAACCTTGTCAACAGCTGTATACAAGTATTTTTTTTATCCCACTACCAACAGATAGCCCAATAACCCCTCTGTCGAAGACCGTAAAAAATCGGAGTGATCTCGTGCTGATAGGAACATACGGGCTGTGAACTCTGTCCAACGCGGAATTCGACGCAACTAAATCGAAAAAAATATTATCGTTTGAAATAAAGATTCCCTCTAGGATCCTGTGGCGGATTATTAAACCGGACCTGAAGCTAGGTGCAATAAAACTCAATACCCCGATACATTATTAAACATATCTCATCTACACTTGAAATCAATCCCTGCAGCTGGATTCCCCCCAGAGTGGATCGATCAAAACGCTCGCTTTTCGGACACAGAAATGTTATCTACACAAACGAAAAAAAAATTACGATTGAGGAGCACTACAACACGAGAAATGACAAAATATATAACCACAGATCTTAAGTAGGCTCGCAACTTGTTGAAAATGTTTCGTGATCAACATCCTTTATTAATGATGGTTTGATGGAGTGTGAGAAATCAGCAGAAATTTCAGAGCTTTTAAAAACAGATTGGTTTTAATGAGGGCAAATAATATTTCGCTCACCAGATGTCGCTAGGTGAGGTGAAATTTTTTGTTACACAAATTACTGAATTGAGAAGTTAGTTTTTAAATAAAAGTTTCTAGAGTATTATATTCATACACAAAACAATGTCACAATGTTATTATTACGGGATTGCTCTTAATTTATTGCACAATTTTAACTGTTTTTCTTTAAATTTGTCTTTAATGAGTATCTGTAGTTTGTTTTTTTTTCTAATTTATGTAAAATATAACTAAGTAATAGTATATAGGGAAACGTTAACCTTTACATTTTTCGAACAAATTAACTTCCCCGCGATGAAATCTGTCAAATATTACACATTATTTTTAAGTGGCACTACCCTGATGGAAGAAAAAGTCGTGGATGCCTTCATTACTTAAACTTTGATAAATACTCTTATGTACACATCAATTTTATTATTATTCACTCTTGTGTATAAATGTGTAACAGTACTAATGATCATACCAAACATTATTAATATGATAAGTATACTCGTATGATACACTTGTCCAAAGTAACGTTTATGGGAAGTAAGTCACAACGTACTGAACAAGTCGGTTTTCCTAATAACAATTTCATAAATTGACTACACTCAAAGACAAATAGTTTGTATTTTTCAACAGACATCGAAAAAAGGATGAGGTTCTCAATTCGATTGTATTTTTTTATGTGTGTTACCTCAGAACTTTTTTCTAGGTGAACCGATTTTTATGATACCCTTTTAAATTGAAAGCTGGTGCTTCTCATGTGGTCCCATATAAATTTGATCAAGATCTGACCAGTAGTATTGATTTTTCCTTAACAATGCGTATTTAATTGACTTGGACTACATTAATAATGTTTTCATTTTATTTATATTGAAGTCGCTTGTAAAAAAAAATATTTTACCACTTGTGTATATTACAATAATATTCACTCCAGTATATTTTAACTCGGTAGCGTGGTTAGAAGTTAAAACCACATCTCATAGAATAACTACTTATAAATTAGAATAGAATATTTAATACCAGGAGTAAATCCTTTCAAGAATTCCTCGAATAAAAGTCAAAATGGGAATGTGTTATTCTCTGAGAATTAAGATGGAATGCTTCTTAACCAAAAACATATAATAAGCATTATACTGTCATTTTCTGTTGGTATTCTTTGAGAGGGCTAACATTCGTTCTGCTGCATCAGTTTTAAATAACGAAACACACGCACCAACATACTTTAATACACCGAAGTCCGTTTCTAGCTTGTTAAGTTTTTTCGAGTACTTCAAGTTTTATTGTGTGAGGGACAAGAGGTCGTCTAGTAGTATACGAGAGATAAGTTTTGTCCTACTTACCTACTTTAAGGGGTAGAAATGATTTGGTTCTCTGTTGGGATATGCATATTAGGCTCCTTATACCAGTGATCCTTCACAAAGTATTAAGAGGTCTTATTTTGTAGTTCCATACTTTATGAAGGGTATGTTATTTAAAGAAATACGAGCAAAATAAAAATCCCTTTTATAAAAATCTCTACAAAAGAATAGATATGAGATTCGTGTAATAACATACGAAAGTAATATGTACCTACTAACCGTCAATAATACGTAGCATAGTGAATGGATGTTTACGTTTCCCAAATAAACAAAGGAGTGAGGTTTGTTCCGCGCCGAAATATGCGACTTCAGCTAACTCCATCCTTCAAATAACAAGTACGACGAAAACGTATAGCAAATTAGATTAAGTAAAATGTTTCTCAATAGATGGAAATTTGTATTTATATTATATCCGTACGTTTTATTAACTCTTATAGACAATCATAAATACACTTCAAATATTAAGCATGCTATATTAAAGGAAAAATAATAAAAGTAAAAATGCGTATTATTTTGTTCAATCAGTGTTTAAACTAGACTAAAGAAATTTTCAGCAGTCAGTGTGGTGGTATGGTTACTATTGCGTTATCTGGCCAAACAACCAACGCCTAAAACACACTATCAAAGTTTCCGAACGATTCTGCATATATAGAACAATTCCCGAGAGCCTTCCGGGTTGAATACCATACGCGGCGGGAAGAAAAAAGCCTGAAGTTTAGTATGTAGTGCCGTTCGGTAAAACGTGGAGAAGGATAGTAGGCTTTCGGCATATATTTTGAGCGGCTGCAATACGGTCATATGAATCATAGCTCGGCAGTTAGGTAGCGTAAGAGCGATCCTAACTTGTTATAATTCAACCATGCGGGAATATATTAAGGCAACAGATTTTTCCAAAAACTAGGATTTCTGTTTCGAATAAACATTAAAGAGAAATAACAGTTTAATACGACAGCATTTGAGATATCCCTTCTTTGCATGATTTCTTAAATTTTTTTAAAATAAATCAGGGTGGTGTAATTAATGCTCTAGATTAAAGGAAAAACATTTAAAAAAATCCTAGTGTAAATAAAAATATGTATTATGTAAAAAACAATATGATGGAAATTTACATCATCATGCATTGTCACATATTTAGCTCAGTACTAAATAAATAAATAAAATATTGTTTACTCAATCTTCTTTATTCTTTATGATAATTTAAAAAACAATTATTATTTTTATTTAAGCACAAATTGACGCCACATTTAATACACGAAATTGTGGAATAGCCTTTACATTTGGGAAATTTGCACCGGAGTGACCCACCTACTTTTGGCCAATGTTCAGCACCATCTTTTCTTATGTCTTTTGGAGGTGGTGGAGCTGGAGAACCTTTTCTTTTTTTTTATTGTAGTTCTTCTTCTAGTAAACTGGTACTAGGACGCCCTCTTTTAGCTTCTTTGGTGGTCCCTCTGGTGCATAGCACAAAGGCCAATTCATTTCTGAATTGGCCCATTGTAAGCAAACTCTTTTTAGGTCCACCTCTTTCTTGAGCATTTCTTTTATAAATAATCCAAGAGTTTATAATAGCTAGATCAAATAGATGAAAAAAAATACGCAAATACCACTTTTTAGACCTCATTTTTATATGATTTCTGCCCAAAAAGCTATCCATGAGATCTACTCCTCCCATATGTTTATTGTACTCTTGTACAATAAACGGGCAAGTAATATAAATTTTTTCTTTTGTTGTCCTGTCAAATCTTTGACTTTAGTTAGAGGCAATGCTCAAGAATAAGAAGATAACAGGGTTACTATCTTATTATCTTTCCAAGCCACACAACTCAAATCTATACCATCATGCACAGACACTCTCCTCAAAACTACCTCTGGGCACAGATTTTTTCATGAAATTTTTCTTCTCTGGAAGTTTATTATTTGGTATCCTGTTTTGTTGCACAGTTCCCACTGTGTGAATTCCTGATTTAGCTAAAAAAAACTACCAATGGCAAAGAGGTATAAAAATTATCAAAGTATATGATGTGGTTTCGGTTTCTTGGCACTCCTCGAAGCAAACGAACTACAACATTTCCTGTTGCACCAAGATCTGGTTCATCTGGGAGTTTCTCTGTATTCTCTTGTCCAGAATATACCTCAAACTTGTGGGCATGTCCCATCAAATCACAGAGAACATACAATTTGAAGCCCCATTTATGGGGCTTCAAATTGGCAGATACTGTTTTAAAAAATGCCCTATTTTGGTAGAACACATCTGTTCATCCACAGAAAGTCTTTGATTCATTGGCACTGTGGCAAACCTCTCATTGAGATGCTTGATAACAGGGCGGATTTTATAAAGCCTGTCATGTTCTGGATGACCTATAGGTTTGTGAAGATCATTGTTATTAAAATGTAATGATAACTTTATTTTTTCAAACTTGTTTAGTGGCATTGTTGAAGAAATGGGCTCATATCCAAACTTGGGCGACCAGTATGATCTTGTGCTAGGAAATTTGATTACTGACATGTATAATAATATACCAAAGAATTTATACAAATCATATTCTGTAAATGTTATAGATGAACTGGGATTACTCTGTATTATATATAAATTTGTCTCCTCTACTAATGTTTTGATAAAATCTTTAGTGATAAAATGGTTAAAACATTGATATGGAGTTTCTAGGTGTGATAGACCGCCTGAAGCAGTAGAACTCCCCAAGAAAGTAATTTTATCTGTATCATACACCAGATTCCTTTTTTTCCAAATCAAGCTTCTTTTGTCAAATGGAAAACTGGATGAAAACTGCAAATTGGATGATGTTGATGGGTGAGAGGATTCTTGATCTTCTGGTTCTACAAGAGGAGGATCAATGTCAGCAGTTTCATCCACATCATTATCATCATCATCGTTCTCCTCCTGCATCACTCTTATAACTTCATCAGCATCGCGGTTTTCATCATCGGAATCTTGGTCATCAAGGCCATCTTCTGAGAGCCAACCGCCTTCTAACTTACTAAGATAATCTTCAATATCTCTTTCATTCAAGTTTCCCTGAAAAACAACATAAAATAAACATTTACAAAAAAAATTGCCATACATTACAAGTGAAGTTACTGCACAGTGATGTAAATTTCCATCACATAGTTTTGAGAAATGTATTCACAGTGTTTTGATATAAATTGTACATAAAATAACAAAAACATGAAAACAAACCTTTTTTCTACTCATGTTCATTTTTTCTTGTATTTTATATCTCCGTTTATTTCCTTAAAACAATTTAAAATATCACTTGTTTCTTCCAGTTACAACAAACAGCGGAATGACAAGTTCTAAGCCTGGTAATTGACAGTGACGTTTACTATTTTTTGACAACTGCATTTTGATGTACGCTATAGGCGCTTAAAAAGTTGCCAGCAACAACCAATTTACAGTACAAGGGTTTTGAGTACCTTTTTTTGTTGACTAAATATTATGATTAAAATTTCCATCATCATGCAAAGAAGGGATATTTCTTATTAGTATTTATAATCTATATATAATTAAAAATATCCTACTTCCATTTCATTTAGTTTATAGTATATAGAAGGCAAAAATCCATTTTATTTTAGATAAGTATCATGTATTGCATGATAATGCATCTGTTTCTTATTCATGTCAGATGTAAATGTTTAGGTGAAGCTATCATCGCAGTGTTAAGAATATCGATCATATTCGTTAAATCGTTAAATAGAAATCACATGCCTACACTAATTTCTGAAAGGGGAAAATTCATTGCATGCACTTATCCTCGAAATATTTTTTTACTTCACAAACAAGTTCATTGATACCATTGAGGATAGAACTGGGGTTGGTTACGCTCTATAAAATAAGTTCAGACGACATTTTTCTTCTAAAATAAATATAAGTACATGTTACAGAATCATGCTAAACAAGCCTCGTTGTGCGAGCACATCATGTTATATAAGAAGATACAGGCTCTCTACAATTCTCAATAGGATTAAAAAGAAAAATGTAAGGAAAGAAATACCCCACTATATACTCTTCTTTTTGCAAGAAATACTGTGTAGGTGATTCTAGTTTTCCAGTCATTACCTGCCTACGCCGTACTATATTGACTCATTACACGATGCAATCGAAATACTCCGCAACGTATTCGCTCCTCAAACACACACTCAACTTAAGTGAATAAATGGGTAATTCGAGATACGTTTCAATGTTTCTTGGTTTATATAAGTTTGCTTATTTCCCCGCGTCGTGTTGCGTCGATCAATCATAGCGGGCCGGCGCGACCTTACAGCGCCGATCATCGTGTTTTGTAAACTCTTTCATTTATCTAATGAGTTTGTTGGAGCGCGGCCCGTGTTGATGAAGCTTATGTTTGCACGTGGGGCGTCATCGACACATTGACAAGCTTTGATGAATTAATCGATATAAACCTACATTTTCTTATTACCATAGTGAAGTGAAATACATTATTTATATCTTGCGCACGTTGTTACTTCGTCGAAAAATTGCCAAAGAATATGTTATTCAATCTTTAAAACTTTACCTGTTTTGAGTTAAGCGAAAGTGGGTGGTAAAAGAAAAATAATTTTCGGGGGAAAACAAAATGCATCCGCTCTTGTAAGCTCGCCTTCAGACTTAATGTTGAATTCAAGCTTAACCAGATCTGAAATGCGTTGGCCTTAATCCACTTAGAATAACAACAGGGCTAATGTCTGCCGCCACAGAATCTCTTCGTTTCTTATTGTCTCGTGTCTCGGGGATTTCGTTACAATTTATAGTAAATGGGGAGGTAATAACGTACAAAACAATGAACTTGTTTACAGATTCGGTAGTTTTATACTATCGCGGTCACCTCGTTCTTTGGCTCTAGAAAATCTTAAAATCGTCCAATTTCGATGTTTTTTTAATCTTCATTATTACGGCGAATTTATGAAAAAAATTACAAGAATAAAAAAATAAAAAATTTCTATTGGTCAAGGCCTTAAATGTTCATGAAAATGCACTCATTCACGTATAATTTTTAATAATTTTTAAAAAATAATCGATAGAAGTTGTTATATTTTTTTCCATAATCAATGCAAAAAACGAATATTAAAAAAATACAAAATGTTTGTTTATTAATATTTTGTTTTGGTTTTTATTGAGTCTAAGATCGAACGATGCGAGCTCGGTACTTAGGGCATCCCGACTCACGGACGGACTTTTTTCAGTTTTTTTTTAAGGACGCGTTTACAAAATGGATAGGTATAGAATTGCACTACTACATTGACAAAAGTCACACACACACTAGTGTACGCACGGTTGGCTGTGGGAATCGTAGTCAAATGAAATTATTTTGATAATTTGAAAGATTGAATTTGTTTTTCATTTCTTATACCTACCTCAGAAATATACTTCGATACGAAATATGAATACCTGCTCCAAAGACTGCTTGGCACTGGAAGCCCTCTACTGGTAGTGAGATGTTAGCTCTGGACTTTGAACTGGTTTTGTCAGTTATAATAAAACCTTACCTACCTGCGGACTTGATGGAGTGACCTGAAGGTGTAATTTGGTGATTACAACAATAGGAACTCCTAGACTAGTGGAACTAGGTGTGCCGAGTTTGGGTTCGTTTTGTTGGTTATGATGAGACCTTACCACCGGACTTGATGGAGTGACCTGAAGGTGTAATTCGGTGATTACAAGTGGAACTCCTAGACTAGTAGAACTAGGTGTGCCGAGTTTGGGTTCGTTTTGTTAGTTATGATGAGACCTTACCACCAGACTTGATGGAGTGACCTGAAGGGGTAATTCAGTAACTACTGCTGGAATTTCTGAACGAGTAGAACTAGGTGTGCCGAATTTGGGCTCCGTTTTGTTAGTTATGACGAGTCCATACCTCCGGACTTGATGGAGTGACCTGAAGGTGTAAATCGGTGATTGCAACTGGAACTCCTATACTCGTGGAACTATCTGTGCGGAGTTTGGGTTCGTTTTGTATGTTATGATGAGACCTTACCACCGGACATGATGGAGTGACCTGAATGTATAGTTCGGTGATTACAAGGGGAACTGGTAGACTTGTTGCCCTAGGTGTGCCGAGTTTGGGTTCGTTTTGTTAGTTATGATGAGACCTTACCACCAGACTTGATGGAGTGACCTGAAGGGGTAATTCAGTAACTACTGCTGGAATTTCTGAACCAGTAGAACTAGGTGTGCCGAATTTCACTCCATCAAGTCCGGTGGTAAGGTCGAATCGAAACAAACAAAACGAAACGAAACTCGTCACACCTAGTTCTACTAGTCTAGGAGTTCCATTTGCACCCACCTGATTACACCATCAGGTCACTCAATCAAGTCCGGTGGTAAGGTCTCATCGTAACTAACAAAACGAACCCAAACTCGGCACACCTAGTTCTACAAGTCTAGGAGTATTCCACTTGTAATCACTGAACTACACCTTCAGGTCACTCCATCAAGTCCGGAGGTATGGACTCGTCATAACTAACAAAACGAAGCCCAAATTCGGCACACCTAGTTCTACTCGTTCAGAAATTCCAGCAGTAGTTACTGAATTACTCCTTCAGGTCACTCTATCAAGTCCGGTGGTAAGGTCTCATCGTAACTAACAAAACGAACCCAAACTCGGCACACCTAGTTCTACCAGTCTAAGAGTTCCAGTTGCAATCACCGATTTAGACCTTCAGGTCACTCCATCAAGTCCAGAGGTATAGACTCGTCATTACTAACAAAACGGAGCCCAAATTCGTCACCCCTAGTTTTACTCTGCAAGAAGTTCAAATAGCGGTCACGAAAGTACACCTTCAGGTCATGCCATCAAGTCCAGAGGTAAGGTCTCATCATAACCAACAAAACGAGCCCAAACTCGGCACACCTAGTTCCGCTCGTCCACGAGTTGCAGTAGTAGGTAAGTTTATATATCCTACTTATTTTTAGCTAAATAAAAACTGTGAGTATAAAAATAATAATTTTATCACTTGTCAAGTACTTATGTTTCCAATTTGTTTTTTTCTAATATTTTGTGTATGTACAGCGATCTTTTCAGAATGAGCCGCTGCAAACAGGCGATACAGTGTCCACTCACGACGGCGGCCGAGCGCGGACTGTGGTTTCATCGAAATCTTTGTACAATAAATCAAAGCAGGCACCAACAATAAAATAGCCCTTATTGCAATACATTATGATTCATCCGTATTACCAAAATATGTGAAAAAATGTGCATCAGTTTTTATTTTTTTTACGACTATTTGTGACATTTTGTTAAAAAATAAACCCAGGGTTTTTTAATTGAATATGTCTGTCATCTTATAGTATTTTTTTAAATTTTTTAAATATGTTGATAATAGACCAAAACATGTACCGAAACACAAGCCGGTATCGTTAATTTTGTAGAAAATGGCAACGAAATTTCGTTTTTACAATATAAAAAACTACTATTTTCAACAAAAGAGTTACAGACATTTGCAGATGAAGAACCAATCTATACATGGTAGTTTTTACTTATATTTGATTTGGTTTAGTTTTGTCACAAAATCTACCGAAAAACACCCTAATTTTGGTTGATTTGCAAACGCGTCCTTAATGTGCGTTATTTAGATTAAGATCTAGCAATCACTGTCAAAAATTGCATATTTTTTTCTTGTTTCAAGATTTTTTTCTAGGTTAATATAAGTTATTGATTTATTTTTGAATATAATAAATAGTTAATTCTCTTCATGTTGGTCTTTTCTGTAAAAGCGAAGATTAAAAAAAAACATTGAAATCGAATGATTTTTCGATTTTCTAGAGCGTTTATGAAAACATTTAAAGTCAAGAACTTAAATTGAGGTAAAAAAATTAATAAACAAACATTTTTCAATGCCTTTTTTTTAATGTTTCTTTTTTTGTAGATTAACAAAAAATATATACACTTTGTTTAACGCTTGGCAAAAAAGTTGTGACCGATTATATTCGAAGAAGTGCGTTTATGATTACATTTAAAGTCATAAACTATATAAAATCTTGAGGTCAGATATTTTCCATATTTTTTTCCGTAAATCCGCCGTAAATACGAAGATTTAAAAAAAATCATCGACATCGGATGATTTTTCGATTTTCTAGAGCCAAAAAACGAGGTGACCGCGATAGTATAAAATTACCACAGATTCTAATTTTCTCGGGAAAACTACTAACGTGATCTGATGTACAGCAATACCAACGTGTTCCGTTTCGCTTTTTAATAATGT